TGCCCAAAGACGGAAAAACTTGTTGGCTTCCAGTTTGTCTATAAAGACACCTGCCCTCAAGCTCGCCTAGAAGAAGAAATACCTTTAAAAAATCACCTTCATTATCTACAAGTTCTGAATAAACTTCCGTACGTTTATAATGACAATTATAATACCAATTTGCCTTAAAAGTATGCCTTATTATCATCTTCTCATTTTTATTTCAGTTCGTTTATAAACTCTATCTGAGTTTCAGCACATTAACAATATTCCCAGACCTACATTCCATTCCTAAAGAATGAATCGCTGCCAGTTTACCAGTAAATACCTATTTTTTCCTTTTATTTGAAAACATCACTGTCAGGTTGTCTACCAAGACTCCCAAGCTTATAAATGCCTTGAAAATACCCTAAAACCTTCAGCGCATCTATAAAACCTAACCGTTCAGGTTAAACACCGGCATTTCCATTGGACTGTATAGACCTACAACTCGGCTATAAAGGCTTCTTGGAATTTAGTTGATCCGTAAAGATTCTCCGGACATCAGTTTGTGTATACGACTCCTTTTTATATCATTAATAAATCTGTACTTCACATCGTTTATATACATTACCGGACCATTAGCCCATCTATAAAAACTCACGACCTTCTCATGGTCTATAGAGACTCTCTGAACTACATATATATATATATATATATATATATATATATACATTACTACATATATATATATATATATATATACATTACTACATATATATATATATATACATACATTACTACATATATATATATACATTACTGAACTATATATACATTACCGGACCTTTGGCTCATCTATAAAAACTCACGACCATCTCCTGGTCTATAGAGACTCTCTGAACTTCAGCTTTTTCTATAAATTATACACCTAAAACCTTCCTGCATTTAAGCTGACCAATAAGACTATCTGTAACTTCGGTTATGTACTGGCTTTTTTATTACCTACAGGTGAATTCATGGCCTTTTGCTTGTTCAAAAAATGCATGATTTCCAGCACGCCGAAACTTACGCTTATTTGGAATTAAACATTTATTTCATTATATAGTTTTGTGGACATTCGGACTGGAGTCGGATTTTATCATATATCACTTATTCAAATTCTATATTTTATGATTCTAATCACTGACCAGTTTTTCCATCTTTTAATGAATTTTTTTTTTACTATTCTCTTCTATAAATGTCAATAACAAAAACAAACATTTTTAATACTCAATGTACATCTAAGCGTATACGTTATGACAGCACTGATACGCACGCAATATCCACAATTAAATTTAATGCAAAATTGCCAAAACATTTCTAAGACCTTTAGAAATTAAAAAAATATTTTCTTTATTTTTTACAAATTTTAGCTTAGCGACTCTGTACTGCAAAATAATTTGAAATTAACATGTTAGGTGATTTATAAATCTTTTCCACATTTGATATTTCATTCCAGATTATGATTGCATCCTAGTTATGGTACTTATTTGTTATTCATGATATTCCAAAGTGACTGTGGAGTTTTCATTTCCACAACTACTAGCAAAAATTGTATTTTTGAAATGAAAAAAAAACCGCCAGCAATATTTTAGAGGATTCGTGATATTTTGCTATCGATTGAATACACTTTGAAATATCGGCTGAGTATTGATTGAACACGTGGAAATACTTTGTCAAATTCTTTGCTCATTTTAATGCATATAAGCTTTTTTCTATGCACCCATACGTATACCTGTGACAGCACTAATACGCACCGATGTCAATAAAAAAAATTGCCAACACATTACATATTTTTGATATGCACCTAAACCTATACGTCATGACAACACTAATACGCATCAAAGTCTCCATCTAACAAATTACAATATTTCGAAATTGTTTTTTTAAATATGTCAACCTGTATAATTAAATTCTTCCTGGAAATATAAGCTTTTAGAATTCAAATTAGCCAATATTGCATAGATGTCCAATAGATTTACACGTGACATGATATGTGATTTATAATTTCTACCTCCCCCCAACTATCGCATATCATAATTCATTCCAGATTGTGGCTACATCCTAGTTTGTATTTGTTATACATGATATTCCAAAAGTGACTACGGCTTCTGCATTTCCACAGCAACTAGCATAAATTGTAAATGTGAACTGAAGAGAATCGAATCGAATGCCATCGAGCAATATTGTAGAGGATTCGTGGTTTTTGCCTCGCGAACACCATTTGGGATATTTGATCGGTTATTGATTGCATGTGGGCAAACATCGATATTCATTGTTCATTTGTATTGTTTCTTCGCGGTGCTTCTGCAGCAATGTTTGCCATTTTTATGCTGAGACCATTTCATGATTAACCATGGGAATTGGTGAAGTTGAATCGGTAAGGTAATTGTGAAGGAAAAAGTCTTAGTGGTAGGAAAAATGAAAAAAAAAACATAAGTAAAATCACGTGGATATATGCCCAAATTTGAAACGTATGGTCCATTTCTACCAAAATTTTTCTGCGAACGGAGCTGAATACCAATTGTGACTAATTATACCTTATCGGAATATTTCAATTTATTAATAGAGAAGAACGTTATCTGTGCTATACATTTTAATAATCCTTTAAAATTCATCATATGCCTTCATTAAAACATTGCAAAATAAATTACCTAATTCACATCTTCTCAGATTTATATTTGTAGCATGAATCTAACTACAGCTATTAGAGCGTATGATTGTTAGCATAAGGTATACGCCTAATTGGACATTCATTGTTAATTTGCCATCATTTTCTTTATTCTTTGTGGTATACCTACACGTATACGTTTTGACAACACTAATACGCACCGAAGTCGTTATTTATTAAATTATAAATATTTCCACTTTACTTCAAACATTTATAAGAATAACCAGTGAGCGGACCAGTATAGACGGACGTGGCCGATCATACGATACCCTACACAACTACCACGGAACTCTAACTGTCTTCTGATGCTTATTCCGAACCTGGGCAATATTTCTGATATTTGCACCCTCATGTCCGATTAGTAGATTAGATTAGTCAACATCACCTCTTACTTACACTGCCATATTTTCCGAATTTTACTAATATTCAGTACAACCCTTCTATACTTGTCCAGATTCCCTTCACCGTGGGTTACGTTGTGATGTTCGGCTTATAGATGTGGCGTATATGTCGACTCAAAAAGAAAAAAACACATACACACACAAAATTAAGTTTTCGGTCCACTTCATGCCAAAATTATTATCTGATCATCAAGGAAAATTATAGGCGTTGTCCTTGACCATAACTGGAATATTTCCGTCCTCGAGTGTGTTAATGGGTTACTAAATAATACTAAATAATACGTAAGCACCTGTAAATATTTAAGTGTAATTCCCACATCGGAATACATACGACAAAATAACTGGTTTCATTTTAAAGGTCAACCACTCCTCCTGGAAAAACTATCAACTTCTCGGGCCTATGTTCTTCAGGAGTAAATATAATACATTCTGAAGCTTGTTTATAAAGACAGCATTGAGGCTGTCTTCTTAAGCCTTGAGCCGATTTCTAAAGACAGCCTTGTGCGGTTTATAGACCCGCACAGCCTTGTTCATGTCTACAAAGGCAAAATTGAGCCTATCTATAAAGATAGTCTAAAGACAGCCTTGAGCCTGTCTATAAAGACATCCAGAAAACTGTCTATAAATACAGCCTTGAGTCTGTCTATAAAGACAGTCTTGAGCCTGTCTATAAAGACTGTCTTGAGCATGTCTATGAAGACAGCCTGTCTATAGAGACAGCTTTGAGCCTGTCTATAGAGACAGCTTTGAGCCTGTCTATAGAGACAGCTTTGAGCCTGTCTATAAAGACTGTCTTGAGCTTGTCTATGAAGACAGGCTGTCTATAGAGACAGCTTTGAGCCTTTCTATAAAGACAACCTTGAGCCTGTCTATAAAGACATCATGAAAACTGTCTATAAATACAGCCTTGAGTCCGTCTATAAAGACTGTCTTGAGCCTGTCTATAAAGACTGTCTTGAGCATGTCTATGAAGACAGCCATGAGCCTGTCTGTAAACTAAATTCAGTCACTAAAGACAGCTTTAAGCCCGTCAATAGAGACATTCTGAAGCTTGCCAATAAAGACAGCCTTGAGCCTGTTTAAGAAGACAGCCTTGAGCCCATCTTTAGAGACAGCCTTGAGCGGGTCTATAAAGTCAGCCTTGTTCATGTCTATAAAGGCAGAATTGAGCCTATCTATAAAGACAGTCTAAAGCTAGCCTTGAGCCTGTCTATAAATACAGCCATGAGTTTGTCTATAAATACAGCCTTGAGTCTGTCTATAAATACAGCCTTGAACCTGTCTATAAAGACTGTCTTGAGCCTGACTATAAAGATTGTCTTGAGTATGTCTATAAATCAATAAAGAAAATCTTAAAAAAAAAAGAGTCTGTCTGTAAATACATTCTGAAGTCTGTCTATAAAGACAGCCTGGAGCCCGTCTATAAAGGCAGCCTACAGCCTTGAGCCTGTCTATAAATACAGCCATGTGTTTGTCTATAAATACAGCCTTGAGGCTGTCTTCAAGCCTTCAAGCTGTCTATAAAGACTGTCTTGAGCCTGACTATAAAGACTGTCTGGAGTATGTCTATGAAGACAGCCATGAGTCTGTCTATAAAGACAGCCTGGAGCCCGTCTATAAAGGCAGCCTACAGCCCGCCTATAAAGACAGCCTGGAACCCGTCTATGAAGCCTATCTATAAATACAGTCATGAGCCTTTTTATAGAGACAGCTTTGAGCCTTTCTATAAAAAACAGACTTGAGCCTGTCGGTAAAGAGGATGTCTTCATAGATCCTGAACCCGTCCATAAAGACAGTTATGAGCATGCCTATAAAGACAGACTATAAAGATCCTGTCAATAAATATCGCCTTGAGTCTGTCTATGAGCCTTGAGCCTATACAAATATATTCTTTTAATTATTTTATTCTTTGTTGTTTTTTTTTTCAGAGAACGCCACCCGTTATTGCCACGCCAATGGAACCTGGGATCAATATACCAACTATGATGCCTGTATGCATTTAACAGAACCTGCCACCGTTTCGGAATTTGAACCGATAATCGAATTGCCAACAATAATCTATTATGTGGGCTATACCATATCACTGGTGTCGCTAACCTTGGCCCTGATGGTTTTTGCCTACTTCAAGTAAGAGGAAAAAAAATAATTTAATTATTTCATAAACACACACACACACACCTCGAAGTCAACCTCTTACGGTATTGTGTAATTTGTTAATTTTACAGAAAAAAGGGTTACACAACAAAAGGATTTGAAAAAAAAATAACAACAAAACTGTGTATAAATAATGAATGAATGGAAGAAGGAAAAAAAATTAAAGCTTTTATGTTAATGAGGCCAATGCTTGTGGTTCTGCAAGGGGTTTTTTGTTAGTGTGCGTGCATACCTGGCTGGGAGTGTAGCTGACGAAGTCTTGTGGTTTATTATATGTTTACACGCACACACATATACCCTCACAGTCGTGGTGGCGGAAAATTTCAGTAAACACATTCCAGTTGTAGCTACAGCAGTAATTAGCACCTATTAAAGTGAAATTATTTTTAGACGTGACAACAAATATTTGTGCACGGAAAATGTTGGGTTATGTGGGAGAATAGTGAAGGAGGACTAAGAGAATGAGGGGGAATATTGTCTCCATAAAACTATTATTTACACTTTGGCATGCGTAACATTTTTGAAAGGGGATTGGGGGAAAATTTTCTTTCCCAAGACTATTATTTACATATGTGCAGATTCCCTTTGATGCTATCCAATAAAAAAAAAAATAAATAAAATTCACATCCTGTCAACTGAAGCTTTTAACCTTGAGTCCTTTGTCTTTGATTTGCTCTCAGGATATTGTTTTAATTTTCTTTTTTTGCTCCTAATAAATATTTTATTTTATTTTGGAGCAGCCATTAAAAACGCATTATTTGTTCTTCTTCTGGGGAGTTAATGGCTCTGTCCGTCACTTAGATTGACAGTCAGGACAAAGAAACAACTTTAAAAGTTATTTCTGTGTCACTGCAAATATTTGAAAAACTTTTTTTCTGTTCTGTTCTTTTATTTTTTTTTTGCTCTCTTATATCACACATTCTTTGTCGCACTCTCACACCCGAACACTCACCTACATCAATTATTTCTTTTTATTAAAGTGTCACCGGGGACGTATGAGTAATTAATTAAGCATGCTTAAGCATGTTATTGTTTATACTTTTCACATGGCATTTCCACTATTCTTGTCAACACTTCGTAAATGGGACGTAGGAAGTGAATAACTCCAACACCCCACACTTACTTTGTAGCCTTTACGAAAATGTTTTTGTGTGGGTGACGCGGGGAAGGATGAATTGTTGCCGCATTGTTAATCTTGCAACAGTCTTACCTCATCTCAGCTTGGTATTATAACACTTCATCTGTCACAAAGAAAGGAAGAAAGAAAAAAATAAAAACTACAAAATGACAACTCAAAGATCAAGCAGCAGGAAATTCATATGTTTATCCCCCTTTGTGCGTGGTGTGTGTTTGTCAGAGGGTTTGGGTAATCCAGTTAGCTGAGAAGTATCACTTCAGGTAATTTTTCATTTAAGAAAATTTCTTCGTAAGTTTTGCAGGGTGATACATGTTTCGTAAAGAATGTGGGTGAAGCAGGGAGGAAGGTAGGCTACCTTTGTAGACGTGCTGAAGGGAGTATTTATAGGTTGGCTAAAGGCTGTCTTTATAGATGGGCTCAAGGTGTGGATTTTTAAAAATATTTTTTTTAAGCTTGCACGAAGGCGTGGATATTTTAAAATATTTTTTTTTCAAGGCTTGCAATACTTACTTAGCTGGCTTGTGACAGAACTTCGTTCAATAAGCCGAGCTTAAAAAAGATTTCCAGGCTCGTCGGTCTTTTGCGCAGTTTTTCCAATTTGAAAAACCATTTTCGGCAATGTTGTCTTCGACTTGATCTTTCTATCTTATTCGTGGCCTTCCCCTTCTGCGTGAACCATCAGCTGGTTCGCTTTTATATGCCTTCTGGGATGGGGCATCTTCATCCATTCTCACAACATGACCTAGCCAAAGTAGTCGCTACAGCTCTATACGTCGATGTCCGAGAATAGCTGGTACAACTCATGGTTCATTCGACGGCTATATTCACCGTCAACGCAGATCGGCCCATAGATATTTCGGAGAATTTTTCTCTCAAACACTTTAAGAGCTGCCTAATCTGCTTGCGTAAGTACCCATGCTTCAGATCCGTATAACAGCATGGGTAGTATCAGCGACTTCTAGAGTATGAGTTTGGTCTGGCGGGACGTGGCATTGTTTCTAAACTGCTTACTTAGAGCATAGTAGCATCTGTTGGCCATCACAATCCTTCTCCGAATTTCAAAACCGATGTCATTCGTTTTATTTATGACGGTTCCACACGGTTCCACGGTTCAAGTTCCACAGTTGGTCCGGGTCTACTGGACGTTTTACGCGTTTATACCATCAGTTTGATCTTCTCGCCCTTTACTGCCAGACCCACTTTGGCAGACTCCTTCTCAATTTGTTCAAAGGTGGCTGTTACCGCTCTCAATGTTCGACCCATTATGTCGATGTCATCGGCGTAGGCGAGTAACTGGTGTTGTTTGGTGTACAGAATACCATTTCTGTTCACCTTTGCCTCTCGTATGACCTTTTCCAGCAGGATGTTAAAAAGGTCACACGACAAACTGTCACCTTGTCTGAATCATCGTCCGGTGATAAAGGGCTCCGAGAGGTCCTTTCCGATTTAACGGCAGATCTTATACCAGTTAAATTTATCCTGTATAGCCGAATTAATTTTGCTGGAATGCCAAACACAGACATAGCTTCATACACCTCTGAACGGATAGGGCTGTCGAATGCGGCTTTATAGTCGACGAAAAGGTGGAATCTGTCGATGTGGTTTTCGTGTGTTTTCTCCAGGATTTGTGCGCAGATTGAAAATCCGGTCAATAATGGATTTCCCAGGTCTGGAGCCGCATTGGTTTTGTCCAATAATGTCATTGGCCATTGGCTTCAGTCATTCACACAGGATAACATTTTATATACGATGGGAAAGAGACTTATTCCTCTATAGTTGACACATATCGTTTTGTCTCCTTTTTTGTGCAGGGGACACAGGATGCTGAGGTTCCAATCATTGGGCATGCATTCTTCTAGCCAAATTATACGAATCAGCTGGTGCATGCTCCTTACCACCAGTCTTGAATAGTTCGGGTTGTAACCCATCGACACCTGCTGTTTTATTACTTTTCAGCCGATTGATTGCTATTCTGACTTCACCTTGGCTAGGTGGTATACACTCTATACCGTCATGTATTATTGGTTCTGAGATATCCTCTTCACCGCTACCATTTGATACCAGAAGTTTTTCAAAATGCTCCTTCCAGATCCTCCGCACGCTGCCTGTATCTGTCACCAGGTTTCCTTCTTTATCTCTACCGGAGGATGTGCCTGCACCAAAGCCTTTGCTTTGGTGTTTTACCCGTTGGTAGAATTTTCGGACTTCATTCTGACTCCTGTACATCTCGATTTGCTCACGTTTTTCTTGTTCTTTCTTCTTTTTCTGAAAATAGGTTTCCCTTCTCACCTTTTCTCCCGATAGTTGTCCATCGCATTACGTGTTGCTACTGTCCGCAGGGTTGTCCTTTACGCTGCGTTTTTCATATCAGTAGCATTACGACACTCCTGATCGTACCACGAATTTCTTGATGGTGCTCTTTGGTACCCAAGTGTTGTTTTTGTTGCAGTTTGTAAGGAGTGGGCAATTCTCGGCCACTGTGCTTCTATATTTTTATCCGGACAAGGGGTGCTTTCGTCAAGCAGTTGGGTAAGTTGAGTGGAGTAGGCTTCTGCTATCTGTTGTGTTTGCAGCTTTTCGTCGTCAAATTTGCGTGTTACATTAGATCGCACCTTTGCTGCAGCCATTACCTTGGCTGCCACAAGGTATTGGTCCGAATCGATATTCGCTCCTCGGATCGATCGGACGTTTAAAACACTGGATGAATGCCTTCCGTCTATCACAACATGATCGATTTAATTTCTCGTTGTTCGATCGGGGGAAATCCAAGTGGCCTTGTGTATATCGCGAGATGCTTGAATCTGGTGCTGAATCTTTTCTGCCGCGAAGTCAATCAACCTCTTGCCGATGTCTGATGTTTCTTCATGGAGGCTGAATTTTCGACGGTGAGGCCAAAGATATTTTCCCTTCCGATTTTTGCATTAAAATCTCCTAGCAGAATTTTAATGCCATGGCCAGGGCAGCGATCATATGCTGTTTCTAGGCGCTCGTAAAATATGTCTTTGGTCAGTTCATCTTTATCTTCGGTCGGAGCATGGGCGCAAATGAGACTGATGTAGAAAAACATCGTTTTTATACGGGTTATAGCAATTCGCTCATCTACTGGAGTGAATCTGGAGACGAGGTCTTTTATTCTCCTGTTAACCATAAATCCGCAGCCAAATTCATGTCTCGTTTCATGGCAGCTATAATACAGGGCGTAATCGTCTGATTTACTTACGCCTGTCCATTTCCGTCGCATTTCCTGTAAGGCAATAAAATCGGCTTTTTACTTCTTGAGTACATCCGCCAAAGCGAACACTGTGCCTACTCTGTACAACGTGCGCATATTCCAAGTGCAGATTCGCAAATCGTGGTCCTTTATACGTTTTCGGGTTCGTCAACATTAGGGGGGTTTGGTTTTCATTTTCTTTGCTTTTTCATAGAAGGTTGGATTTTCCGTGAGTGGGCATCTAACCCGACGCCTCAACCCATTTTTTATAGTTCTTATGGGTGAACTCGCGGCGCATATTAGCTCACTATTTCATCGGGTGATGAAAATAACTACCCCAGGTGGCACCGCGGAGAGGTCAGTGTCCACAATGGAGATGAAAGAGGGACCAAGAAAAGGCTGGACTTCGCCATGTTAAAGCCAATCAGAGCCATTGCTTGGTATCTATCATTCCTACGCCACCAAGGCTTACAATAAGGCTTGGATTTTTTAAATTTTTTTTTCAAGGCTTGTACTAAGGCGTGGATTTTTTAAAATTTTTTTGCAAGGCTTGGATTTTTTAAAAATTTTTTTCAAGGCTTGTATTAAGGCGTGGATTTTTTAAAAATTTTTTTCAAGGCTTGTATTAAGGCGTGGACTTTTTAAAAATTTTTTTCAAGGCTTGTATTAAGGCGTGGATTTTTTAAAAATTGTTTTCAAGGCTTGTATTAAGGCGTGGATTTTTTAAAAAAATTTTTCAAGGCTTGTATTAAGGCGTGAATTTTTTAAAATTATTATTTTTTATTTAAATCTAAATTTAAATAAATTACGTTCCTTTTTTTTTCTTTTGTGAAAAAGATATTCTCGCTTGAATTACATCAAAAAAAAAAAAAAAAAAAAAATGTGAAGTGATTCTTGGGAAACAAATGAATTTAATTTCGTTGGTTTTCCTTCTTTCATCTACATAATATCTCATTTTCATGCTAATTAGATGAGGGAGGATGTGTGTGTGGATCTGTGTCCCGAATGCTATATTACGTGCCTGTGTCATTCTATAATTAATTCTCTTATCAAATACTAATTTGCCTTTCATTTTGTGTGTTTTTTTCTTTTTTCTCCGATGCTTACATTTTCATTGTGGATTTGACACATACACACACACTCACACACGTGCGCGAATTAAAATGTGAAAACAATGATTTGTGAACCAAATAAAAATACAACAAAAACAAAAACAACAACGCCAACGAAAACAAAATACTTATTTATTTGGATGGAAAAACAACAACAACAATACAACATATTCAATCCAATGGCATTAATAACAACATCAACAACTCTGGACATACACATACACACACGCACACAATCACACCCCAACAAAAAAAAACGACAACGAAATTGTCTTCCTCACCAAATAACCGCACAATTGCTCAACTGAATGGCACTTGGAACCACCAACGACGGCGATGATGATGATGCCGACGACGACGATGGCGATAACAACCATAACTACATATCCAACATATCCTGCTGACTGGCGGCTATGTTGTTTGATACTGTCTGTCCTGCATGTTGCCATCACTTCATTCCGCTCCCCCGCCTATGTGTGTCATTTGACTCTCCTGTGATGTGTTGCCACCACGTACACCATTCTACGTGTGCATTTCTGTGTATGGCTGTGTGTGCGTGTGGGTGTACAAATTTGCACTGTTGGCATTTTCTTTGTTATTTGTTGCTGTCCTCGTTCGATGTTGCCTTCAGGGAACTACGTTGCTTGCGCAACTCCATACATGCGAATTTATTCTTTACCTACATCATGTCTGGTCTACTCTGGATACTTACACTTTCTGTACAGGTAAGTAAATATATAACTGTGTGAGTGCGTACATGGAGAACAGTGGCTCGAAGTCTCTATCAGACTAGTTGAAGACTTCTACAGGCTATCTGAAGGGATGGAAATACATCTAAAAAACAATCTGAAGAGTTCAGGATGTCTTTAGGTTTTAGACTGGTTTTATAGGCTATGAAAATAGCCTAGGGTCTATAGAGCACCCTAGGCTATTTTCATAGACGGGTTCTCGGCTAAAATTTTAGCCCAGATTTTTATACCCTACACAACTATGTTGTCAGGGTATTATAGCTTTGTGCAGCCCCAAGAGTTTGTAACGCCGTGAAATATTGGTCCTAGACCCACCTTTATGTATACCGATCGTCATATCTCGACTAGCTGAGTCGATCTAGACATGTGTGTCCGTCCGTCCGTCCGTCTGTCCATTATAATTTGTAAACACAATACAGGCCACAGTTATGGACCAATCTTTACGAAATTTTGCATGTAGGATGGGTTCTGGCCAATGAAGACCCCCATTGTTTTTTGTAAAGATCGGTTAATATTTAGGGGATGAAATGGACCAAATACTTAATTTTTGTCGTTTTTTCTGGTCGCTCCAGAGGCCGCAATTATGGACCGAACATCGCGAAATTTCACATGGAGAATAGGATCGGACCAAAGAATAAGCATGCCTGTTTTGATAAAGATCGGTCAATATTTAGCGGGCCAAATGGACCCTGACTTTTGTGTGAAAAATGACAAAATTTGTATTCTATAGCGTATATATTTACTCCTGAAAAACATAGAGCCTAGAAGTTGATAGTATATCCAAGAGGAGTGGTTGGCCTTTAAATTGATACCAATTGTCGTATGTACTCGGATGTGGATGTTACACTTACATATTTACCGGTGCTTACATATTCAGATATTATTTATTAAACCATTACCATAATAGAGGGCGGAAATATAGCGCTGATCGCTTTGAAATTTTCGATGAGGATCCAGGTATGGTCAAGGACAACGCCTATAACTTTCGGTGATGATCAGATAATAATATTTTAATGAAGTGGACCAAAATTTTTGTTAATTTTTTGTTTTTTATCACAACATTACAACACAACCCACGGTGAAGGGAACCTGGACAAGTAGCTAGACGGTCAAGAATATCCAAATATCGCGAAATATTGCCCGAGCTCAGAATATGGAACCACAGAATATATAGGGTATCATATTGTCGGCCCAGTCCGACTATACTACTCCGCTAACTGGTTTTTAAATGCCCAACGTAGGCTTGTTTTTTTTTTAATTTTTAAAGAATTTTTTTTAAGGCTCCCATATGGCGTGGACTTCTTAAATAATATTT